AAGAATGCACTGGCAGATCTGAAGAGGAGGAGGAAGATTCTGATGCTGCTGTTGACGAGAATTTGTTAAACTATACTGATGAGGAGGGTAAAGATGGAGATGGGAATGAGGATGTGCCTCCTGTAGTCAACATGAGAAAGGTGGTGACTCCGAAACTAAAGTGGCAAGCAAAAAACTATCATTCCATGATTAACTGGAGGAATGAACTCAAGACTGAGCCTCCTTACATTGCTTCTCTGTCAAATCTACAGGTTAATGACATTCTTGAGACACCATTAGTGGTGCCCAAGTGGCCAAACAGCACTCAGGCGGTCGAGAGGCATAAAAGTGATGACTGAAGCTTGCACTGAAGTGACGGGATACGAATCGAGAGATGGATATATTAGGCAAAGATTATTGTCTAGGAAAATGATGCCAAGGTTCCGCACAAAAAAGAATTTCAATATGAACTTGTAATGATTTTCTATACGGTGTACCTGTTAAATAACATGTGAATTAAATCGATGTCACCCATGTAAAATTTATCATTATCCTGGAAAACATTAAATGACACCTAATTTTTGGTATACACTAAAAGTTGACAAAAAGTCGTTCGCGATGCGGCAGGGTAAGTATGCATGAAATGGCATGAAATTTTGCACAGGTGTTTGTTACAGCCATACAAACGATGCCTGAAAAGTGCAGCCTGCAACTCAAATAAAAGTGTTTTTTCCCTGCCCCCTAATGGCCATAGTACTACAACTACCTGTAAATATCAACAGTTAGTGAATAAGTAACTCTTATGTCAGTGAGATGTTATTAAAGCCTAACATACCGTTGTGTTGTTAACACAGTTGACTTTACGAAGTAGCTCCACCAGAAAAAAAGTTCCGTCTTGTTTCACAGCTGAGTAAAATTCATGACTGCAATCTTCAGGCCCGGATTATCCATTAGGCACAGTAGGCACAGTGCCTAGGGCCTACGAGATATTGGGGGCCTACAAAAAATAAAACGAGAACTTTTCTTCCCCTTTTTCTACAGGTTATTATTAAATTGATACTGAGGTACTTTTTTCCATTTATTTATTACTTAATCCTATTAGTGTCCACCAGCTAGCTGTGCTTCTTGTAAACAAAACTATTTCTGTACAAGAACAGCTGATCTAACCCATTTTCTTTTACTCAATTCATGGCAAACATCACTGAATCTTATTCTTTCGACATCACATTTTATAATTAGGTACTAGCTTGTGTTATTAGTGAATATGCTGTCAAATGGGGCCCCATATCTTGGAGGTGCCTAAGACCTACGAAAGTCTTAACCCGGCACTGCCAATCTTGCATTTATTCTCTATCCATCCCGATAAACTCAGGCCACAGATGTCAGACAGGTGATGAGGGGTACAATAAGTTCACGTGACTGTTGGTGTACCGAGTGGATTCTGTCGACGAGCTGGTGGTTTTGTGGTGGGACCACCTGCTTGACGACACCCGGCACTCCGCTTCTACCCTGATAGAGAAGTGAGTGTGCGTGTGCGTGTCATGTTTTAATTCCAGTATCAAAGTACACTAATTTTGTTTCCGTCAGTGGACAATGTCTATCTAGGGAGCAGAACCTGCCCTCCATTGCAGTAGTCGTGAACATCGTCATGTAGGGAACGATGTCAGCCGGTACACCACATCTCACTTATACATTAAGCTGTTGAAGTGCAGTAATACTTTATAGTATAATATCATGGTCAGCATGTGGTAGAAAACGTAATTGCTAACCTAGTCACGTGCTTAGAGACATTAGCTGTCGAAGGGTCGTTATGCATTACCGGGTTTATCATCAAGGGTCCGGACAAAAAATTCCCTAGGACAAAAGCCCCTGAGTTAAAGTGCAAAATAGGTTAGGTTCATCAACTGTAAACAAAACAGAATAAAAATTATAATTTTTTATACAATTATTTGTACTAAGAGGCTTTTGCCCTGGGTGGGCTTTTGTCCTACACTAATCATCAACAAGGTCACATGACTTTCGTGATCTTGAAACGCAGAATGAACTGGAGACGTGACTAAACTGCGCTTCAAGTGCTTTATTGATCTATTGTTATTTAGGGTCACCCAATATCCTTTTGTATCCTGCATCTACGATTTCATCGTACGAGTTTTCTGTAACTAATACAGTACTACTTCCCATGAGAAAATCAATAGAATATTGTCGCGGACAGCAGCTAGCTTGCTGTGCACCCCATACTCACCCTGTAAGTGGTAGCTCAAAAAGGATTACAGAGGCATCCAAAGGGTTTATCAGATATACAATATATATATATACTTCATTTTTAGTCCATATAACACGCGGACTTTGAACATATAATCAACGAACTCACCAGCAAGGAATCGAACCCTCGTCCTACTCGGTGGGACTAGGGAACGCTTACCGGCTAGGCCACAAGGACACTAAAAACAGTTCTAGACTCTGTTATATTTCACACAAAGCCTGTTCATCGAGCTGATGGCGCCGTGAACCTCATTGGGAAACTGCCTGTGCCTCTTATGTGGTATCAGTAGCATTTTACCGAATCCAGCTGGTATGAAACGCGAGGTACATATATATATACTTCATTTTTAGTCCGTGTAACACGAGGACTTTGAACATATAATCAGGCGACCTGATGGAGGTGTATAAGTGGAACTCAGGGCTAAACAAAGGGGACATTACAAAGGTACTCAAACTATCCAACCAGGAGCGAACTCGTAACAATGGTTTTAAATTAGACAAATTTAGATTTAGGCGTGAAAAGTTAAACACTGGTTTGGAAACAGAGTAGTGGACGAATGGAAAAAGTTACCAAATATCATCATTAACTCAAATACGCTGAATAGCTTCAAACATAGGTTGGATGCTTATATGAGCAATAGGGGTTGGGTATAAACGGGACTGCCCAGTATGGGCCAATAGGCCCGCTGCAGTTTCCTCCATTCTTTTGTTCTTATGTTCTTATGTACCACCATCGGCTCAGGGTGAAACTCTTCAAATTTACAAAAAGTGTTTGACTGAAAAGGACAGTATTGTTTATCCCTATGTACGGCAGACATTGAATTTCACAACTAAACATAAAATTTACTTGAATATCCCTATTCTTACGTATTTGTCACAATTAGGAATGATAAAGGCTTAAAATCGACAACAGATCTGACCGTAAGTGAAGTCGGCGACGTTGTTATTAACCCCTTTGAATGACAACTTGTGTGGTCCGTTATTCTCATGTTACTAGTCTCGAATTCTGCCGATTGAGTCCATAACAGTCTCTACCGACCCCCGAGGAGAGTCACCAACTAACTGTAAGATTTGCTTATTTCTGCAAGGCATTTGTCACGCCCTGGATGGCCTGCTTGAGGTGTATTGTGGTACAGAGTGAGTACCGTGTCTCGTAGGTTGTCAGGTACGACAATTTGTGTGACAGTAACCTGCACTGTTTTTGTTGTACGGTGCAGTATGTCTTGTTGCAGGTCAAACTGTTTGAACGGAAGAGGTAACTTTGGGAGATTGTCCTCCTCACCTGATTCTAGAGCATAAATTACTTTAGACCACTTTGGATCTTGCTGTTGTTCCTCTCTTAATTTTTGTGGAGTGAACAAGGGTATTGGTATAACTGGAGCTATGTGTCTAGACAGTGAGTCGGCAACCACATTAGCGCGTCCCGGTAAGTGTTTAAAGGCGGGTTCGAATTCTTGAATGGTCAAGTACCAACGTGCAAGTCTGCCAGAGAAGTTCTTTCCTTGGAATAACTCCGTTACTGCTGCATGATCCGTATAGACTGTTATTTGATAACCAAATTATCCAAATATCACATCTTTGAACTTCTTTAATGGCCAGACAACAGCTAACGCCTCTAGATGATTAACTGAATAGCGTGTTTCTGCATCATTAAGTTTACGGCTTGCATAAGCAATTACTCTATTTTTTCCTCTAGTGTCTAGCTGCATGAGAACAGCTCCAAGCCCTTGTCCGGAGGCGTCGGTGCACAGGGTGAAAGGTTGAATATAATCAGGGAATGCCAATACTGGTGCATTGATCAATGCTTCGTTTAATTCATTAAAGCTGTTTTCCTGTACATTGTTCCAAACAAATGTTGCATCTTTTTTCAGTAATTTTGTCAGCGGGGCGGCTAACTTAGCATACCCGTGAATGAATGAGCGATAGTAGCCGGAAAGTCCGAGGAAACTACGCATTTTGTCTACATTTGTAGGACAGGGAAATCGTTCAACTGCTTTAACCTTGCAGTCCATAGTATGGATGCCGTTCCCATCAACTACGTGTCCAAGGAATTTAACTTTAGATTTTAGAAATACTCATTTTGAGAGCTTAATTTTCAAATCTGCTTTATGAAGTTTTTTAAACCCTTCACGTAATTTGACAAGATGACTGTTTATGTCTTTGCTTACAATAATCAAATCATCTAAATAGGCATAAACTGTATTGCCAATCATCCCTGCAAACAATGTATTAATCATTCGTTGAAATGTTAATGGCGCATTTCGTAGTCCAAATGGCATTCTTAAAAACTCAAAATGTCCCAAGGGCGTGTTGAATGCAGTCACCTCGCGGGATCTCTCGTTAAGAGGAATTTGCCAATACCCGCTAATAAGATCGAGGTTACTAAAAACTGCGTTGTCTTTTCCCAAGGATTGCAACAAATAACTCAGAACAAGCATCGGGTACCTATCCGGTATAGTTGCTTCATTGACTCGTCGAAAGTCAATAACAGGTCGCCATCCTCCATCTTTCTTTGGAACTAGAAAAAGAGGAGAATTCCAAGGGTACGACGAATGTGTGATTACTTTCTGTTCAATCATATCTTTAACCATGTCCTCAACTATGGGCCGTTGGCTATGATGTAATCTATAAGCTGGTATGTAGACAGGGTTAGTGTCTGGTTTTAAATATATGTGGTGTGAGGTTAATTTTGTTTGACCTAGCGGTTCCCCAGGTAATGCTACAGTTCAGTACTATGTCACGATAGTCAGCTCGTAACTCTAGGCGTTCACTTTGCCTTGGAGATGGTCAATCACCTTGACCTGTGGAGCTATTTGTTCTAACTTCTTCTGCCTGGTTTGTTCTTGCGTTGGTGCAACGCTAGCAATTGGCAACTGAGTAGGCTGTGCCACAACATTAGTATGGTACACCAGGAAATTACAAAGATAACATCCATTTTTCAAGATTTTGGGGCAGTCAGTTCTATTAAGAACAAGGATATCTGTTAAACCACCTGGTCTAATGTTGCTCAAGGTAGACTCAAATGACAGACCTTTAATCTTGGCGCTTTCGCTAAGACAGACTACGTCAGTACCAGTGTTGACATCTGGCAACCGGACAGTAGCTCTGGTTATTTCCTCATTCTGAAAATGTTGAGTACCTGTTAGGACTGCAGATACTATGCTCCAATCTTTAGCAAGCTTGGGCTCGTGGACAACCTTCCTCGTATCTGTTGAGTTAGTTATCACTTTCACATTTGTGCTGAGCATTGGATGTGAATTGTGCATAGCATGGTATGTAGTGCTATTAAATGTTATAGTATGTCGACTAGGTTGGACATCTATATTATTTTGTTTTAGTGTTTGAAGACCAAATAATCCATCAGCTGATAGAAAAAAATCTCTTACGATATAAAACTCAGCTAGAAAGATTTCACTGGAGTCACAAAAACCTATAGGTAATATAATGACTCCCATATTATCTAAATGTTGGCCTGATACTCCGGAGAGATCGACATCAGTAGGTCTTATTCGCCATTTATTGTCAGGAAAACGTCGATTCAATTCAGTAAATGACGTTAACGAGATAACATTAGCGCACGCTCCCGTATCTATGTCTAAAGAGAGCTTGGTGTTACCTACACTCACTGGTATTGTCAATACTTTCACTTTACATAGTGCAGCGATCAATGAAGCTGTCATGGAAGCATTGCTAGTAATATGTGATCTTATCCCAGGTCGTGTTTGACATGGCGCAAATCTTCCACCGACGGATTTTGAATTTGACGCCATTGATTGGGCTCTAGATAATCCTGCCTGCATTGATGCAGAGTTACACAATCCTCTGAACTGTGTGATGAAGAATGATGTAGTAAACATCACTGGTTACTTATGGGTTCGGAAGCATTGTAGGTCTTGCTTACTGCACTTGGATTTAACGTTTGATTTTGCTTTTTGGAGTTGCCTTTCTTGGCTTTGTTAAACTAATAGGTATTAACCGTTTTGTTTTGCATAGAAACCATCTTCAGTCGTATGATTCACTGGGTTAGTCATGTTAGTGGTTAAAGGTTTACTAGATAATGGCAATGCTGGTAAGCTACTCGTGCATGGATCAGAAGATGTCAATACACTGTCAGCGATAGGTTCACAATACAGAGGTGTAGTGTTGTAAGAACGTCCTGACCTAAATTGTGTACATAATAATTCGTTATCTGTTTTATCTATGACTGCTTCACTCACTTCTACTGAAGTGTTTGCTGTTAGTTCAGGTTCAATGACTTGAAATTCATGCGCATCTTCGAGTTCACATGTGTCAGTGTTAACGGTGCCATGAGGTACAGTGTCACTTGAATCACCATCTAAGTTTTCATTATGTTGATCGTTAACAATATATGAATGATCCATAAATGTTTCTTAGATTTAAATGTTTAATAACTTTGCCAATCCATTCACAATAAGGTAATGTGAAATGAAATTTTAGTGATAATTAATTGTATAAGTTATTTTTTCATTATTGTTACAAGGCACTTGATAATTAATAATCTATCACGATGTCTACCGTGTGAAGACATGTTTTAAATTATATATATATATATATATATATATATATATATATATATATATATATATATATATATATATATATATATATATATATATATTATGTGTATATATAACTAATGATTGTTTGTGAAATACCAAATACCGTAGAGTTGATTGTACATGGAGATATCCTCCTGTTTACATCTGTCAGTTGGGCTGGGTGGATGACGTAGTAGTCCAGAGGGCACCGGTCTAGATGACGTCACTGTTGGAGGTTCTCTACCCACACACATCTGCTCTGGTCCAGGTCGATGAGGGCTAGATCCATAGGTCCATAGGTCTATGAGGGTGATGAGTTGACAGGTCGATGTAGGTTAGGTCGATACGTGATACCCTGGGCAAATACCACTGTAATATATTTGATTCCTGACTTCAGTTCTGTTTGCTGTTTACATTGTCCTGGGGTGAGACCCGTGTACAGAGATGCCTGGGGTGTTGTTCAACCATGTATTTGCAATTATCATCTTGTTTTTCTAACATAAGTCAATTAATATTTCTCCTCTCATTTCTATTATCCAACCCATGTGGTCTACTTCTGGTCCTTTCCCAACTTTTACGTTAAAATCACCCATTAAATTTGGTAACATAATTAGCAATCTAGAATGACCATATCTTTTCTTTCATTATATTAAGTCAGTGTCTTTTATAACCTTTAATTTAGGAAAGTTAATATTATACAATTAATCATAATATGGTTTAAACCCCTCAATTTAACGTACCTTTATTATCAGTAAAGTTATTGAGGGCATTACTGTATTACATTTATATTTAACATTGTTGTCATATTAATAATTTGTAAAAGAAAATCAGTCTATTTATATACTGTACAATAAACTTAATGTTTTTGTGTTAAATATGATACTATTTATATAATCAATAAAATTACCAGTGAAAAAATTTACTATTTCACCACCAATTTGTGGTTTAAGAGTCACACAATTTATCATTAAATCACCTACATGATTTTGTACTCTACCGAAGAGAAATGTGAAATATATAACGATACACTCCCATTCTCTCATTAACTAAAAGAATTTCTTGAAGCTTGAAGAAATATTCCCATTGCCAGACACATGCTACATGGGAAAGGCTTTCGTATGTTGTAGTCATTATGTAAGTATGCACAAATGCTTTAAATATTAAGAAATCCGCTATTTATTGATGTCCAAAGAAAATACAAAACAAAAACAAGAATGGATACATTTTTGGATATATATATTTTTTAAGTTAATAGATACGGTTTTATATTTTTTAGCATTTTTTTATATACACTGGGATATAGTCAGAGATCACGAGGTGTTAACCCACTCGTGTCTTGAGGGTGCTAAGGTCAGCTGCTGTCGTTTGATCCATTCTGCTGTGTAAAAAACTGTTAATTAGTTTTACTCACTGGGGAGATGCTGATTACTTACCTAAGCAAGTATGACTTGATTGCTTGACGATGAATGTTCACTGGGGGTAACTGGGGGTTACCTGTATCATTGGACTGTTGGTTGTTCTAGAACAATTGCGTCCCTTCTGACCAAGATGATAGAGAGTTTTGAATTATTCTAAATCTAATGAGAACTTTTTCGGAATCACATGAACATTAGGCACCCCCACTTGTTTCACCCAATGATTGGACATCCTAATGCTAACCTAACCTAATCTAACTTATACAAGAAGCATATGAATGTTTAATCATCCGGTGAAAGTGTTACTGTAGTTTCATGCTGCTGGGGGAATCTCGTGGCTGCTCTGGGGATCCCAAATCCCAGCTGTATTAGTTTCAGCATGGCAGCAGCTTCTCGCCATGCTTATCTGACGGCTATTGATAGTGTACATGACTACGTCAGTTGCCATAGAGGTATTATAATTATGTCGTGTGTTTATATTTATTCTCTCCCTCTCTACACACACATACATAACAGAGTTTCTGTATCACCTACTGTAATGTAAAACATATAAAGACCAACTAACAAGACACTTGAGAAGGCCAAAGAATTAACACCCTTTACACACAAGTTTGCTTTCCTTTATTATCTTGCTACACGAACACATTTAGTGGTTCAACAGGTGGCACATACGGTAGGACACATTGTTGGTGCAACATGTGACACATACTGCAGCATACATTTAGAGGTTCATCATATGACACAGGGTACACTCGGTATCGTTACCAGCTGTGGAGAACGTGAAGGCGTGTCGACCTGCATGTGGGTGCGAGAACCATGGCTGATCCGGGCTATAAGAGAACCATGGCTGATCCTGGCTATAAGAGAGAACCTTGACTGATCCGGGCTATAAGAGAGAACCATGGCTGATCCTGGCTATAAGAGAGAACCTTGACTGATCCGGGCTATAAGAGAGAACCTTGACTGATCCGGGCTATAAGAGAGAACCATGGTTGATCCTGGCTATAAGAGAGAACCTTGACTGATCCGGGCTATAAGAGAGAACCATGGCTGATCCTGGCTATAAGAGAGAACCATGGCTGATCCTGGCTATAAGAGAGAACCATGGCTGATCCCGGATGACAGCAGACTCCTCAAGTACTGCTGAAAATGTGAGAGTAGCAGTTCCTAGTGTTGTGGGTGGCAGGTGGACAGCGTCAACGTGTACCATTCAGTGAGGAAGGCGAGGGTGGCGAGGCAGTGTCCCAGTATCAGGAAGTAAAAGGCCCCCTGCATGTGCTCCAGGTTTAACACCATCTCTTCCCTCTCGCCCTGACGTGGGAGTAATGGCTCACTTAATCGAGGTAGGGTAAGTTAGGTTAGGTTGGGTTAAACAATTGAGGTCAAATTGGGAATGTTGTGAATAAAACAGATCTTGACGAAGTCTGGGATAATGTATAAGAGTAGATGTAAAATGGATATATTTGTCTCTTTTTCTCTATATGAATTTATGCGACATAAGACATGTAACAAGTTCAACTATTAACATGTAAGATATAGTCTTTTCTAGAGAGGTGAGTCTTCATCGCCGCCTCCTTTAGTCCGTCAGACGCCGTATCCTGTTGAGGCCTCAGAGAAACCACCAGCAGAAAGTGATCAGTGGGGCCCACATCTCTCTGAGCATCGATAGTCCTGCAGAGGCAGGAGGCGCATTTTCCTGACTGAACAGAGGGGCAACAAAGTTGGGGCCAGCGTTTCTCTGGCCCCGCAACTGACGTTCTACCGGTGCCTCAGCCTGTTGCCCTTCTCAGCACCCAAGCGCTCTTCTCCCTTCCTCACTGTGTCCCCTACTGACGCCCTTCCCCTCCATGCAAGCGGGCTTTGCCTTCCTTCAGGGTATTTATCCCCTCCTCTGTATTGCCCTTATCTCGCCGGCCTCCCACTCCGCATACCTAATCCCCTCGCCCCCCCCCCTCACCTGACGCCCCAGCCACTCTGGCCTGAGATAAACTCCTGCTTGCTGATGTGGAGGGGTGTGTGGCCGTAGATGTCAGTGTGGTGGAGGGCGACCACCATCTTGATGTAGTACTTCCAAGTGAAGAAGGCGTGCTGACCACCCAACACCCGCGCCAGCTGCTCCTCCCGCGGCGTCACCTGCCATGGGAACAACACAGGTAAACGCAGGAAGGACAAGTTGAAGCGATAAATCTGTAATTACAGCTAAATAGATAGATTACACGAAAGAGAGAGAGAGAGAGAGAGAGAGAGAGAGAGCTATCATTTCCATGGCGGATACACACACCTTTCTGTTGCTGTCTTACCGATTTTCTTGACATTGGTAAACAATGTAGCCTGGGTTCTAACACAGTCAAAAATAAAATTTTCTACCATTACTGAATATGCAAGTTTCTGTATAAATTTTAATGTAACAATGATGACAAATCCCAACAAGGTATTTTGGTCCACTATTCCCTGACCAAATAGAATCGGCTAAAATAAATATGACCTACACATAATACTGCAGAGGACAAACATCCCCCAAAGTCACTCAACAGTACACAACCCTCGTTCTTGTTAAAATGAGATGGATGGGGGAGACATCCTGTGTTTGTTTACGACTAAAGTGGTCCTGTTATGGGTTATAAGGCGTGATATAATTGTACCATCTGCACCATTTGGTTAGGTTAGGTTAGGTTAGGTTAAAATTCCATACCATTAGGTTAGGGTAGAGTCGTTAAGTTAGGTTAAGAGGAAGTTACCTGCATGGTGGTGAACATGTGCTGCACCTTCGGGTTGGTGTTGTACTTGAACCAGTCCCAGCCGACCCCGTGCCCACCCTCCAGGCCCCAGGTGGCGCCCTCAACCTCCAGCAGCTGGTCCAGGGTGTCGATGGGCGACGGGTTGACGGGCGCGGTGAGGTGGGCGATGAGGGACCCGCGGTACATGGCCACCACCACCACGCAGAACACCCACCACGACCCCACCAGCATCTGAGAGACCCGCACTACTGTATATAGTTATTACTACCGCCAAGAGTGCTCACTATAGCTAGAATTTCATATATGTGATTGTGGTATATGTTTGCAGTATGCGTTTGCGTTACATTGCCGTGGAAAACGGACACCCCCATTTCTATTTGCCGATGCATACTCTGTCTACACACCGGGAAGAGGACAGGACAGATGGCTCCCAGCTCATTGAAGCTACGACACTAATTATATGAGCAGGCTGATTTACTATTAATTATCCTGGTTTTGTATAAGATCATTTGTATTCCAAAGAACCCTTTTATTGAGACCATAAACCTTCACTTTAGAACAAATGTATAAAAAATATATGGATCTAGTAAAATGATATACAAATAATGAAGCATACTTAATTACCTGATTAAATAACACTTGCTAGGTTTATAAATGTATGATACAAATGCATTCCAAAAATACTTATTTTTGTACTGTATACTGAGTGAACTAATGAAACACCTGCTCAGTATGTAAGATCACGGCAGATGAATGCTGTATAAAATGAAGTTTTTTTTTTTGGTCACATTTCCTCTTAAATATTTGTGAAATACATAACTGTGACAAGAACATCTGATGTCTGGGTGAGGTGTTCAGGTGTTTGAAACAAGAACTAGTGACGTCACAGTGTGAGGTTCGCTCGTCCGTTTCCATGCGGTTGGGTTTTCAATCGCATAACGCTAACGCAACCGTGTGAATGGAATCCTAGTTTAAGGCTTCATCACACCTGTAATCAGTGACATACACCTGTAGCCAAAATTAGCCTGGGTAATTGAGAGAGAGAGAGAGAGAGAGACTAAACGACATACCCAAGACGCTAATAATTTATATAGTTTCCATTGTTAGGAACATTAATTTTATTCTCCGTTTTATGTTATATTTGTATAATAATTGTTTCCTTATGTTATTTTCGGATATCTTGTGAAAGGAGTTGATTAAAGCTCGTTTAATGGGCAAACAAGTTTTACTTCATCCCACATCAATAATTAAAGTACCTGGGCAGTGATGTTAGTGGGCAGGGCGTCGGTGGGCTCCGCCAATAGCATGCCCAAGGTGTATAGGAAGGCAGAGACTGCATCCAAGCCGCGTCCCCCAGAGAACCGTGACCACGCCCTCTGCGCCCCCCACAGTATGGCACCAGCTAGCGTCGTGGTCACAACCAGGGCTATCCAGATATCGCCTGCGGAGAATACATGGGGGAGTCATCACATATAGAGATCACACCCTAAAGACACACACACACACACACACACACACACACACACACGCACACACACACACACACACACACGCACCTGTGAAGGGCTTGATGGGGGCCAGGTGCTGGGGGAGGGGCCCAGGCTTGCGGGTGATCATGACAAAGGGCTCGAAGATGTAGGCGCGGGTGAAGTCTATGGCCTCCTTTCTCGCCGCCGACCAGAATAGACGGAGGGAGAAGTCCGCCTCACCCCGCCACAGCTCCCCCACCATCCCCGTCCACGTGTTGTTCCTCGTCCGTGCTCCCCACACCCCGTCCACCGGTGCACGGATCACGAACATTAAAGTGTAGTAAAAGTGTATGAATAAGAACATGTCAACTTGAGATGGATAGATAGATAGATGGATAGCTATATATATATATATATATATATATATATATATATATATATATATATATATATATATATATATATATATATATATATATATATATATATATATATATATATATATATATATAGGATGCTGATCTGACTTCTGCCTCATTTCACACAATTGCAGGGTCTCAATTTTTTCTCTTACTTTGACAACACATCACACTTATATTGTTTCTCACTCTTGATTTTTTATGATTTTTGTATTTCTTTATAGTTCTTTATTATTATTATTATTATTATTATTATAATAATTAATATAAATATAAAATTAAATAATACAAATAATATAATAACCATAAATAAAAACAAAAACGAAAAAATAAATCAAGAGTGAGAAACGATAAACATTATATCATGTGTGTTGTGTTGTCAATAGTAAGAGAAACAATTGAGACCCTGCAATTGTATGTAAATGAGGCAGAAAGTCAGATCAGCAACCTGGGACTTGGTCACAATTTTCGTGATGCCATATGGCAGCAGGGTCTACCATTAGACAACACATTATGCTTCCAATATCTTCCCAGGCGGTAGGACCTCCCTGTTTGGTAGCTGCCTACTACCTACTACTTGATAAGATAGATAGATAGATAGATAGATGGACGGAAAGATTAGATAGATAGATAGATAGATAGATGGATGGATGGACGGACATTCGGTAGATAGATAGATATATATATAGGTTCTATATAGTGAAGTACCCACTTGAAGTTGAGGATGGAGGCTGCTGTGTCAAGGATGCGGATGTCGAGGGAGTCATTGGGGGTGACGGTGGTGCCAGGGGCGTCGGTGTCCTCCACATAAGACACGAAGGGGAACAAGGCCTTGGCCACAATCCTTACTACGTGTCCTTCCATGTCCTCGAACTGGTCTGGAGCAGTGAGGGTAGTGGGAGGGTGAGGGTAGAGGGAGGGTGAAGGTAGAGGGAGGGTGAGGGTAGAGGGTGAGGAACGGAGAATGGTGGGGAGGGTGAGGAGTAGAAGGAGGAGTGAGGGAGTGGAGGAGGGTGAGAGGTAGAGGGAGGGTGTAGGAGTAGAGGGAGGGTGGTGAGGGGGTGAGGGAGGGAGGGTGAGGGTGGGGGGTGAAAGGGGTGGTGGGAGGTGGGGTGAGAGGTGAGGGCAGGAGGTGAGGTGGAGGAGGTGAGGTAGAGGAGGTGAGGTGGGAGGAGGTAAGAGAATTAGAGGGAGGGATCAAGGGACATGAATGAGGGGGAAAGAAAGGTTCATGGATGAAAGGAGAATGCATGATAAGGGCAAGGGGCAAGGGGCAGGAAATAAGTGAGAGAGGAATAGAAAATGAGGGAGAATAGAAAGGTAAGTGGTATAGGATAAGAGTGAGGGGGGGGGGTAGAAAAGGTATGGTTGTTTACATGAGTCTTCGAAATCCTCTATATAATTAATAATGAAATATATGATCATAACAAACTGAAGTTAAGGACTTGTGTAGAGTCTCGCCAGTATGAACACCCTGTAAGTTCTCTATTAAGTCGAACACAAGTATTTATTCTGAGACATAACAATTGTCCCCAAATGTTTAAACGAGTAACAGACACGAGAAAACCAATGTGCTGAGATAGCTCCTTTATCAAGTATGGATGATGCAATTATGCAGGAGATCCGAACCAAGGTAGGTAGATACCTACCTTGGTCCGAACGGCATCACTATGTAAACAAAGATGTTTATTTATAACATAATTGAATGCAGCAAAAATGTGTTAACACTGGAACTTGAAACTAATAAACCAAACAAACTAAATACACTGTAGTCAACAATTGAGAGATAACCAAATCTTTGAGACCAAACAATAAAGTAAACAGTAGTCGGAGTAAACATAACCATCAGTAAACCCGAATGGTGTTACCCACTCACCAGGGATGAGGGACCTGTTGTTGACGAACCCGGCCAGTGGGTGCCAGCGATCTAAGAGGGTGACCCCTGGCTGGCCGCCCCGACAGTACAAACACCTCCTGTATACCTCCACCTCTCCCTCACACTCTCCTGGCGGGGGGGGGTTAGAGATAAAAAGTATACAGTACACACTAGAGAGAGATCATCCCTGACTCTAGAAATTTGTGATGTTTTGTTTTATATTCACAGCCGCTGATGGTCACCACTAATGGGTATATCACCACTCCTAAGGGGAGCCTCATCACCACTAATTTGTTCCTTACCTGGTGAACAGGAGGTGTCAGGAGGCGTGGAGGGGTCGTGGGTGGTGAGGTAAAAGGCGTGCAGTGTGTCGTGGAGCTTCGGATGTGCCAGGGCGTGAGCCCGCGACCTGGGTCCCACCACCACCACAGCGTCTCGGGCACCACCTCCGTCTCCTCCAGGAACCTGACGATGTCAGTGGTCTGAAATAACTTATTTATGGACAAGAGCCTGTATGATAAAGTGAAGAATAATACTGCATTTAATAATGAATAGATCACATTATTCTGCAGAAATATGATATGGAATTATATTACTAAAGTACTTCGTTTTGAAGGAATCAACACAATAAGAATTGTTAGATGTTATTTATTATCCAGGAAACACCGAAACCAGCCACAAATAAATTACTTAACATTAGATGCTTAAGAAAACTGTTTGTGGGTGGTTATATGAATAAAATATATATATATATTTATAAGATGTTCTGGAAATGACTGAAATCTGAACGGAATTTATGCGCATTTACGACATTGTATATAATTATCATTAAGCAGGGTATCAATTATAAAACACGTGATCACGTTGCGGGTAGCTGCGGTTTGTGAGATATTTTGAATTTTATGACAACTATACAGCTAGAACATTGCCGTCTATTCGTTTCCTGTGATAACTCTGTCTGGCTGACATGCAGGATGTAATCGTAAACAAGAAGTAAATGCAGGTACAGTTTTCTAATGTTTTTTACGCTTTCACTAGTACGTTCATCTGGATGTTATTATTACAAAGTTTCAGTGCAGCCAGTGTATATAGATTAGATAATGATGGTACCCATAAAAAGAAGGAAGATCATTGACCTTTACTTAAATCCAGACAATAAAGGCACCTTTGAGGAAGATGGATGAGACACACCATTACAATAGACCATTTTTTTTAGTAATCTGAATTAAAACACTAATACAAATGTTCACGTAAAAATAATGTATTTGTAAGGAAATATGTAATGTGGATGGATCTGGATTTACACTAAGACGATTCAAGAGATTTTGGGGAACACTGTGGTGTAATATCCATAGACCTTTGGCCAAGAATTTGCCCACCTGGACCACTGTGAGAAGTACTGTAGAGAAAGGCGCGGGTGTATTTATGTTTGTGCGTGGGGCCGTGTATGTGTGTACATGTATATGCTTTCCTCGATAAACACACAAATTGTCGCTGACCACAAAACACCAAAATCTAAAACCAAGAAAAATCATAAAAGACGAAAAACAAAGAAACAACTAAAAAAATCTTAACTGTTAGTGCAAGGAAGTACAGCACATAAAATAAGTACAGTTTAGCATATGGAATTCTACTGTTCTACGCAGGATACTTTTGTGTACTTCCGTTGATGAACTTAGGTGGGACGGAAGGAAGCACGGAGAGGTGCCCCAGTGAGGGTGTAACGGACACACCATCTACATACACCAAGAGTTAACTTACGTCATAACATCAGCGGCGGACACGTTGACGGAGGGACTGCTGGGGGTGTTGGAGGAGGTGAAGGCACCGACAGAGTCGTTAACGTCATTAACAAAGGGATTGAAGGACAGGACGGAGGAGAGATAGAGAATGACGGCCCGACAGGTGAGGGTGTGGTCCCCTTGCGTCAGATAGTGGAAGAGATCAGCGTTCCTGGGTGAATGGTCGTGTCCCCAAGTCACCAACACACTCGTCTGCCCCCCTAGCCACACCTCCCTGGAGACATATATATATATATATATATATATATATATATATATATATATATATATATATATATATATATATATATATATATATATATATATATATATATATATTATATATATTATATATATACAGTATATATATATATATATATATATATATATATATATATATATATATATATATATATATATATATATATATATATATATATATATATACATATATATATATATATAGGAGTCCCTTATTTTCGCTTTGCGATTTTTTACAGACCTGCAAAGTGTCCCATTGGGACAGGCTTGTTGTGTGTAGAGTTATTTTTAAATATATTAATATTTAGAGGTTGCTCAAAGCTGTCAAAAATTAAGTAATCGATGTAGTCGATTACTCTGTAGCCGATTACGCCCACCACTAGTGCGTCGCATTTGGCACGATTGTGGTGAGTTTTTGCTGGTCGTGATTGATGATTGGGGAAATTAGAAACAGTTCTACAGAGTATTCTCATTATTAATTTATATTAATAGTTAATTTCTTTATTCCTCAGGTCAAAATGGCTAATGCAGGAGTAAAAACACGAGAAAATATGTATTTGATAAAGACATAATGTGATGCCATTACAGGGGCTAAGTTACCTTCAAACAGGCAAGTGTTACAGTATTTTTTAAGCCTGCATCGTTTACAGAAAAAACATCAGAGTGGCAGCTGGGGAAGTCACAGACAAAGTTCTTCAATTTTGGACAAAAGCAAACATTCCCACACACCACAAACCAAATTGTGTGAATCAAGTGCACAAAATGTTTGACAAGTGGAGTAGTTTGAAAAAGAACTCTTAAAGAAAGACAGAAACTCAAAAGCAGAAAGAGAAAGAGTTCACTGATACATTTGAAGATTTCTTTGACATTGCACATGTGAATGCTTTGTATATGATGACAGTTCAGGAGGATAAGGATTTCTTAATAGCGCAACGAGA